AAAAAAAAAAAAACTGCATTTATTTATTTGTATATGATTGCTTGTGTGAATGCCATGATACACGTGTGGAAGTTAGAGAACAACTTACTGGAGTAACTTTTCTCCATCATATGGGTCCCAGGGATACGACTCACATGGTGACAAGAGCTTGTACTAGTGTAACCAACAGCTGGGTGGCCCAAGATATGTACAATTTGCTTATTTATATCTTGAATTTCTTTTTTTTAAACATTGCTAAATACTCTTTATTTGGTATATTATAAATAGACCACAGTAAGTGCCTTTCAATGGTAAAAGGCAGCATCCTTTGACTTAGAGAATTCTAATTAAAATAACACCATCAAGTCAAGAATAGACAGTTGCCCCCTGACCTTTAGGCGTTGCCTGTAACAGCAGGGAGTACAAACTTTACCACAGGCAAGTCTTCTCGTTTCTGAGATGGTGACAGAATTCCCCAGTGTTTAAACATATTCATATGTCCAATTATATAAATTTAATTATAAGACCATTTAGTAGGTTTGAGGTGACACCCCCATCCTTGTGGAAAGTAGAACTTTAATAATTAAGTCCAATCTTATCTGGAGAAAGGGAGAGCAGTGACAGTGTTTATGCAACTGGAATCGTTACTTTAAAAATGATCACATCCACTTTTCTACAAGTTAGTTTTCCTTAATCAGGGCTGTCCAACAAAACACTGCTAGCCGTTCATGATCTGAATTGTCGGTATGAATTAAATTACGGTACGCATTAAAAGTCTCGAGAGATTTGTTTTGTAATAAATAAGGTGGTGGAATTACTCATTAGCAGCCTTTTTAACTAAGCTATTAGGTCCGCCCTCTCTCCCTTCTTAATTCCAGCATAGATCATTTTTGTTCCAGGGATGTACTTTTTGGGATTCTCCAAACACTCCATCAGGGCATCCTCTCCCCAGGTGATGCCTTTGTTCTTGTTGGCATCTGTGTATGAGAATCCAGCTGCCTGACCTGTCTTCCTCCCAAACGGACTGTGGAGATTTGGTCCAGTCTTATGCTTGCCTCCCTTTTCCACAGTGTGGCACTGGGCACACTTCTGAACAAAACTCTTCTTGCCTTTCTCAACATCACCCATTTTTAATCAGCTCCTGGGTGATCAACACCACCAACGCTGCTGCGACCCGAAGATGGACATCCCAGCTCTCTTATCTTGAATTTCTGATCCTACTGCCTCTACCTTCCTGAGTGCTGGGATTACAGGCCTATAGGGGACTGAGCCTAGGTCTTTCTAACACTGAACAGGCACTCTATCATCTTTGCATCTCCAGTCCTTCTCCTTCACTTTTTCCATGGATACTATCTATAAATACTGATGTTTCTTGTGCTGGTTGGGGATTGAACCTGGGGCCTTGAGAATGCTAGGCAAACTAGCATAGCATGCCTAACTAAACTACATGCCAATGGCTATTTTCTTTTCTTTTTTCTTTTTGGCCACAGAGTCTCACCATGTAGCCCCTGCAGGCTTGGAACTTGAGCATCTTTCTGTCCTAGCCTCTCAAGTAGCAAGGATCACTAGCCTGGTCTACAAGGTCCAGCTATCTGTCTCTTTCTTTGTTAATTTTTAAGGCAAGTTTTCTTTATATAGCCCTGTGGTCCCTTGGATTCACAGAGATCCTCTTGCTTCTGCTTCCTGAGTGCTGGGATTAAAGGTGTGCACCATCACACCTGTTGAAACTTTTAGGTTTTTGTTTAGTTTTGTTTTTTGTATTTTTAGATAGGGTTTCTTTGTGTAGTCCTAGCTGTCCTGAAACTCACTCAGTAGTTAATGTTAGCCTCGAATTCAGAGATCTGCCTGCCTCTGTCTCCCAAGTGTTGGGAGTAAATGCATGTGCCACCACAACCCAGAAAGCCTGTTAATTTTTAAAATAGTATTTGCCAGGCGGTGGTGGCACAAGCCTTTAATCCTAGCACTTGGGAGACAGAGGCAGGTGGATCTCTGTGAGTTTGAGGCCAACCTGGTCTATAAGAGCTAGTTTCAGGACAGGCTCCAAAGCTACAGAGAAACCCTGTCTCTAAAAACCAAAAGCTAAAATAGTATTCTATGTGTGTAGAGTCTATAACTCCAGTTCTAGAGGCTCTGATGGTCTCATCTGACCTCTTTTGACATCATGAATGTATGTGATGTACAAGCATAAATACAGGAACAACATTTACAAATACATGAAATAAAAATAAATAAATCTGGGGCTGGAGAGATGCCTCTGGTCAAGAGCACTGGCTGTCCTTCCAGAGGACCTAGGTTGAATTCTGAGCACCTACACAGCAGCTCACAACTGTTAACTCCAGTCCCAAGGGATCCAACACTGTCATCTTCTGGCAGCAGAAATAATCCACACCCATAAAAATGAAATCTAAAAGTTTTCTAAGTAAAAAAAAATATATGTAAAAAATATATATATGTAGAGCTGAGCAGTGGTGGCACACATCTTTAATCCCAGCACTTGGGAAGCAGAGGCAGGTGGATCTCTGTGAGTTCCAGGCCAGCCTGGTCTATACTCGCTAGTTCCAGGACAGGCTCCAAAGCTCCATTTACATTTGGCAAATTAAGGAAAATACTCTATCATCTACCCTATTTTTGTGAGCCTAAAGCTTTATATTTAAATTATCTTTTATAATTATAACTATCTTTCTTTAAC